AGATAGATAGATAGATAGATAGATAGATAGATAGATAGATAGATAGAGAGAGAGAGAGAGAGAGAGAGGGAGGGAGGGGGTGGAGAGAGAGAGAGAGAGAGAAGGTTACACAGCCAAAAGGGAATGTTAATGGTAAAAAGGAGGGGGCTGTAGAGAGAGGGAGAGAGCTAGAGAGACTCTGTGCATGTGTGTGTGTCTATGCGTGTCTGTGTGTGTGTGTGTCCGTGTCTGTGTATGTCAGAGAAAGAGAGAGACAGAGAGAGAGAGAGAGACTCTGTGTGTGTGTGTGTGTGTGTGTGTGAGAGAGAGAGAGAGAGAGAGGAACAGAGTATGTGTGAGAGGGGGAGAGAGAGCGCGTGAGAGAGATAGAGAGAGGAAATGTAAGCAGACAAAGGGATTTTTGACGGTAAGTCAGGGAGGAAGAGAAGCTCAATAAGTAATAATGGGGTGGATAAGGAGGGTTGGCTGTGCTGAAAGTGACCCATTTCATCCCAGATAAAAACCAAAGGAGCTGCGGATGCTGTAAATCAGGAACAAAATCAAATTTGCTGCAAAAGCTCAGCAGGTCTGGCAGCATCTGTGATGCTGCATGACCTGCTGAGCTTTTCCTGCAAATTTGTTTTTGTTCATTTCATCCCAGAACCTGGGATGTGGGCATGGGTAAAGGACGTGTCCCATGTCAATATTTTTGTGTCAGGTCTGCTACAGTCCTTCAACGAGGCTCAATTAAGGCTGAACGAACACCATCTCATTTTATGCTTGGGGACCCTTCAGCCTTCAGGACTCAATATCGAGTTAAATAATTGTAGGGCCTTTTCGCATGTCAGTTGCTCACCCCTACAGCCCTAATTTATGTGATTAAATGGGTTACTTTCAGCAAAGCCAACCCGTTTTCACCTACTCATAATCCCCATTATCAACCATTGAGCTCCTCTTCTTCTCTGGCTTACCATCAATTATCCCTTTGTCTGCCTGCTTTTCCTGTCTGTCTCTTCTCCCTCTCTCTCCCTGTCTCTCTCTTTCTGTTTCACTTTCCCTCTTTCTCTTTCCTTCTCCACCTATCCACCTATCACTTTCACTACCACCTGTCTTTAGCTTAAATAGCACCTAATCCTAGCTGCTACCTGTCCTGACGAAGGGTCACTGGACTTGAAACGTTAGCTATGTTTCTCTCTCCAAAGATGCTGCTCAGACACACTGAGCTATTCCAGCAATTTCTGTTATCTTTTTGCTTGTTTGCTTTAGATCTTCAGCCTCTACTTTATTTTTAAACTTTACTGTACTTATTGGATGCTTCCATGTCTCTGCAATCGCTCATTGCATCCTCAAAGATCAACAAACCAAAGAGAACTGTTAATAATAGCAAACCCTCTGTTCACAGTCTCGTAGAAATTCCTCTCCCCAAGTCCCAAACCCTGAGAAAATACTCCACAATATTAAGATGGATGCTTAATAATGCAACAGCGTTTAATAATAAGTACCTGCAGTTGTGGGTGGAGCTGATGTCGGTGACAAATCTGGGTCTGTGGAATTGAAATAAAGGGAATCACATATTAGGATATTGGTTCAGAAAGACAACAGTTCTTCATTTTCAAAATCTGTGAGTTGCATTAACTAAACAAGGATAAACCATCACTCGACCCTTACCGGAACAGATCACACTGGCATCTTCCTTGTGAGTACAGTCGATTTGAGCCGACAATGAGGAAGGACAGGCAGACAGAACAGATTCGATCCCTATGCACTTCACCTCATCAAGCCAGATTGGGCCAGTGCCGTGGGCAAAATAAGCACCTGCTGGCGCCAGGAGAGGGGCTCCACATCCCAGCTGTCGGCAGACAACAGCTGCATCGTTCATATCCCAAGAATCATCACACATCGTGCCCCAGGTACCATCGTACAGTGCCTCCACTCGGCCTGAACACTTACTGTTACCTCCAACAAGGCGCAACCTGTCTCCTGGACCTGTCAACAATAATTCGATTAAATGACAGTGATGCTGCCTGGATTAGAGGGTATGAACTACAAAACAAGGCTAGAAAAACTCGGATTGTTTTCTCTGGAGCAGCGAAGGCTGAGGGGACACCTAATAGAAGTTTATAAAATTGTGAGGTGCATAGATGGGGTTGTTGGTCAGAATCTTTTTCTCAGAGTTGAAATGTCTAATATTGGAAGGTATGCATTTAAGGGGCGAGGGGGATAGTTCAAAGAAGACGTGAGGGACAAGTTTTTTACACAGAGAGTGGTAGGAATCTGGAACACGCTGTCAGGCGTGGTGGTGGAGGCAGATATGATAGGATCGTTTAAAGGGCTTTTAGATAACAACATGAATATGCAAGGAATGGAGGGATATGAACCAAGGACGGGCAGAAGGGATTAGTTTAACAACTGAAGGAACTGCAGATGCTGTAAATCAGAAACAAGAACAAAAAATGTTGGGAAAGCTCAGCAAGTCTGGTAGCATCTGTGACGAGAAGTCAGAATTAACCTCTCGTCAGAATTAGTTTCCCAAGAGCTCAGAATTAGTTTAACTTGGCGTCATATTCGGTCCCGTATGATGGGCTGAAGGGACTGTTCCTAGGCTATGCTGTTTTATATTCTAAATGGATAATACTACAGAGAAAAGCCATGCAAACGTCAGGTGTAGCCCGTAATGATAAGGAAGAGTACAGACCTGGCCGGGAAGCACAATCCTTTGAACTGTGAGTCTGCTCCGTCGTTTCATCGTACCCTGTTCAGAAGAGAAACAGGCTAACAATGTTGGACGCCCATGTTTGAGATGACAGCCGCGCATTGAAAGGATCCTCACGTTACCTGTGCAGACAACGCCCACATCTTCCCAGTGATCACAGTTGTGTACACGCCAGGGGTTGGACTGGCACTGCCAAAGGGTCAACTCATGTGAAACACACGCCACTTCGTCGAGCCAAATAGGCCCGGATCCTGCTCCAAATTTCTGGGCATTGTGATATAATGAAGCGAGTTGGCCACACTGTAACTGTTTACAGATCACTTCCGCCTCAGCGTCTTCCATGTTTTCGGAGCACACTGTTCCCCAAGAGCCATTGTAGAACACTTCCACTCTGCCCTCACAACGATGCTGTCCATCCGCAAGCCGCAGCTGCTTGTGTCCTGTCAATGAAACAGAAAGGGACAAATCCAGATGTTTAACTTGGCATCCCACGTTCCTGTCCCCATGGCACAGGCTGGTACTTGTTGCCTCCATTATGACCATTGATTCTGGTCATTGGCAGAGAAGTTACTCAAAAACAAACAAACAAGAGAACACAGCTAAACTCTAGGTGTGGGCTTTGGGGAAGGGGTGAGAGTGTTTCCCACCTCTAGATCAGGAAGCTTGGGCTCAAATCTCACCTCACCCAGACACATATCAATGGAACTGCAGAATTAAGAATATGTTGCCGAGAATAATTGAGGGTCAGGGGTGTCCGCACACTGCAATAACAACTGCCAGTCAGCCATAACCATGTTACACAACAACAGCTGATGGTTGGGACTATTAACAATACAGTAACAACTGATGGTAAGGGGTATCCACACACTACAACAACAACTGTTTGTCGGTGCTATCAACACTACAACAACTACTTACTTTCAGGGCTATCAACATTACAAGTACTGACTGTCAGTGCTATCAACACAAAACAGCTGATGGTGAGAGATATCCACATACTACAACAACAACTGACAGTGAGGGGTATCCCAACACAACAATAACAACTGATGGCCAAGGCTATTGACAACACAACAACTGATGGTAAGGGGTATCCACACACTATAACAACAACTGATGGTCAGGGGTCCTACCTGACAGCAACAAACAGCCTCTGGCCAGCCTGCTCTGCAAGTGTCTGATCTCAAAATCTATGCAGTCTCAGTCAGTGTCAATAGTTGGAATGGAGACTCCCTACGGATACCAGTGTCAGTATGCCTAAAGTGGTAGTGCCCCTATCTCTGGATCAGGTTCAGGTCCCGACACCTCGAGAGATGTCTACCAGGGACACAGAGCAGGTCGAGAAATCAGGAGCGAACATTACAAATGATCTAATTTGTTCAACTGTATAAAAAATTGACAGGAGTTCTAGCATTGAGGAATGTAATGCATGGTGCATATTTTCCCCAAAACAAACAAAAACCCTCCAATCTTTGAAAACGACACTGTAGTGGGAACGTGTGAACGCGAAATCAGGCTATGGATGGATCAAAAATGTGTGCAAAACAGACATTAGCCTGGAATAAGAGAAGATGGGAAGTGGTGCTCACTGGGACTGGTGAGGTGGTGGGGGGGTGCGGGAGAGGTGCAATTGTACACAAACCATTTATATTCACCACAGATACTTCAGACCTAGAAGTGGCTTCTAAAAAATTAAAAGTGGTAACACATTCAGGAGTATCATTCACCCTCGGGAGGCCAGACAGAAAAATGAGGCGTACTCATCAATGGTGGTATGGGCTTGCAAGTGTGGAATGCATTTTCATGGCGATGAGTCTAAAGTGATCAGTTTTGGTGGGAAGAATTAAGAGGCGAATTCTCCTTGAAAATAGGCATCTTTACGTTGTACAAGCATAGAAACATAGAAGATAGGAGCAGGCCATTCGGCCCGTTGAGCCTGCTCCGTCATTCTTCATGATCATGGCTGATCGTCCAACTTAATAGCATAATCCTACTTTCTCCCCATAACCTTTGCTCACACTCGCCACAAGTGCTATATCTGGTCGCCTCTTGAATGCATTCAATGTTTTGGCAAAAACTACTTCCTGTGGTAATGAATTCCACAGGCTCACCTCTCTTTGGGTGATGAAATGTCTCCTCAACTCCGTTATAAATCACCTACCCCGAATTCTCAGACTGTGACCCCTGGTTCTGAACACAGCCACCATTGGGAACATCCTCCCTGCATCTACCCTGTACAGTCCTGTTAAAATTTTATAAGTTTCTATGAGATCCCCCCCTCATTCGTCTGAACTCTGGTGAAAACTATCCGAACCTAGTCAATCTCTCTTCATACGTCAGACCTGTCATCCCCAGAATCAGCCTGGTAAACTTTCACTGCGCTCCCTCGAGAGCAACAGCATCCTTCATCAGAAAAGGATACCAAAATTGCACTCAATATTCCAAGTGTGGTCTCACCAACTCCCTGTACAATGTGCTTTCTTCTAGCTGTTATGTTACCTGGAAATTTGAGTTTCTTTTTCAAAATTAAAGAGTACGTTTCAAAACGCTTTAGGAAGGAGTCAGAAATTTTAGTAAACCTTTAAAAGACACTCACCCGGCCTCCATGTCAACACTTAGAGGATGCAGACAAGATTTACAAGAATACTCCATAAATGATAAACTTCAATCATGACTGAGACAGCACAAGCAAAAAGGCATTGAGTTGCACAGACACAGTAATGACTCACAAATTGGTGACGGACAATAAAGCTTATAGGTCACTGATAGACACATCCAGGATAGAAATTCCGGTTTTGTTCTTGCTCTTTACCCGGAGACTGAGAATAGTTGGGAATCTTGGAGACACAATCGTACTGATGTGTTACAATGAAGCTGGATACGTACACGAAGAAGTACAAAGGTGGATATGGAGATAAGTTCAGCTGAATTGCTGGGGGGTGATACTTATGTGCAGAATAATTATAATGTTGGTGATCTGAGCGGAATATTCTGTGCATGCACTGTTCTGATATAATTCAGCGGAATGTCTCCCATTCCAAGTGTTTGTGTGAAAGAAATGAGAGACAGCTTACCAGAACATATGATCCTTACATCCTCCTTATGGTTACAGTTGTGTTGACCCCACGGTGCTGCTGAACAGTGTCTGAGAGATGATTCATTCCCTGAACACTCCACCTCATCCAACCAGATTGATCCCGTGGCCCGTCCACAAGAAGCAAGAAGGGTCACATTCAACGCAGTTCCACAGCCGAGCTGTCGGCAAACCACGTTAGCGTCAGTCAGGTCCCAGGAATCGTCACAAACTGAACCCCAGGTGCCTCTGTAATAAACCTCCACTCGGCCAGCACAGGGACCTCCGCCATCGGACAGCCTCATCTGGACGTGATCTGTTCCACAACGATTCACGAGGATTAATCAGCAAGTGCAAACTCACCTGAATTACCTTAGCACACAGTAAACTGCCCATTGAGGTTGTCAGCTGTCTTTTCACTAAGCTTCTGATAGATATAAGAATCTACAGGGCAGCGATTAGGGGTTAGCAGTGGGCTAGTGGTATAGTCAGTGTAATCTCATAGACCCAGGATTAATGTTCTTGGGGACTTGGTTCAAATCCTCTGCAGAACAAATTGTGAACTTTGTATTGATATAAATGTGCAACTAGACGCTGGTCTAAAACTCATCGCTGCAGATCGTCGTAATGGTCAATTTATTTTCACTCATGTCCTGTAGGGAAGGAAACTGTCTATCTTCGCTCGTTCTGGCCCACGTGGTTGACTCACAAGGGGCAATAAATATTAGTCCAATCAGGGATGCCCTCAACTCCATGAAAGAATAAACAAAATTACACTACTTTGACTTAACCTTTACACGTGTGTAAATATCGAGAAGTGTGTTCCCACACATGACTATCTGAGATTTACTTTAATTGATAAAATGAACCATAAAGGCGGCTCTTGTAACTGTCAATTTTGATTTCCCATCGACCAGAGTGTCTGTCCTGAAATGTTTTCAGCAGTCTTGCGGCAAACTGATTAATATCTGCCCGTTATTTTACCTTGCATGATGCAAACTGCATTGTTTCTATCACAGGACATGTTTCTAATTTGATGTGAAACGTACTGACACTTTTACCAACACAGGACATAAAGCCCCATGCACGGCATTGATGCAGAATATAATAAAACCTTTTCCACAACATCTGGGCAAAATATGTGTTCCGTTTTCACTTATGTACTTCCTAAGGATGTGGGTGTCGCTGATGTTTCCCTTTGTTTGTTTCAAACCCGTTTGTTTCACACCTATCATTGCCCTTCGGTGGTCTGGCTTGTAAGGACACCCCAGAAGCCAGTTAAGAGTCAACCAGATCGCTGTGTGTGATTCTGGAGTCACATGTAGGTCAGACTAAATGAAAACGGCAGACATACTCCCCTCAAGGATATTAGTGAAGCAGATGGGGAGACTCAATAATTCACTGTGGTTACATGGTCACTATTCGATGGTAAATTCAGGAGTCTTTTTTTAAATAATAAAATTCAAAGTTCACCATCTGCCCTGGCAGCATTCCAGCCCAGTCCCCATGGTCATACCGTTACTCGTTGTGTTAACAATCCTTCTTTAACTGTCACAAGACGTATACCTGGAAAGAGTTGATTGCCTGGTAAAGAAAGGGGAGAGTATTCTTCGGATGCTTGGAGCTCGGCATTTCTGTCTTTCAGACACGTCAAGGTATTCAAGGCCGGAAAATGGAAGTAGAATGGTGAGGTGGCTGATTTTATTTGACGAGCAAAGGCACGATTGAGCTATGAATTTATTTCTATGGTTCACTTACACAGTGAGGTGAATGTGCTGAAAGTGAAACGCCTCGATTGTCTTCTTCTATCCTTGTTTTTTTCCTACTCAGCTTTTAACACTGTACCTTTATAAAAATGGCTAATTCTCCCACAAGATTTCCATTAATAAAAAGGACTATCTCTTCACCTGAGCACAGCACGCCCACTCCTCCGCTGTGGGTGACTGACGGGTTCAATGCGAAGGAACTGCAGTTCAGGAGGTGCGTCTCATCTCCTCCACACTCGACACCATACCCCCACACAGGGCCTTCACTCTCGCCACCGTACTTCGATGAATTGTAAGCAGCTAATGCTTTGCCGCAGCCCAGCTGTCTGCAGACCACGGTGGCATCGTTCAGGCTCCAGGCACTATCCTGCACTTCACCCCATGCACCTTGGTGATAAATCTCCACGCGTCCATCACAGCGGCTTCCACCGTTCGTCAGCCTCAACGCCCCGTTGTCATCTGCAAAAGACAGGTTTTGGAAACAACATATGAGAGTATGTGGGGTTACTTGCCCTTATTAGCCGACAGGAAGCAGGGTCAGTGAGGCTGGAACTGCATAAAATATTGTTGAGGTTAACAAAGCTAGAGAATTGTGTGCAGTTCGGAGACCCACGTTATAGGAGGGGTATGGCACCACTAGGGACAGTGCAAAGTGCAATTCTGAGGAAGGGCAACTGGACCTGAAACGTTAACTCTGATTTTTTTCTTCACAGAAGCTGCCAGATCTGCTGACCTTTTCCAGCAACTTCTGTTTTTGCAACAAGAGATTCGCTGGTTTGACTCATTTGTGAAGAGAGATTGGGCAGACTGAGTTGTTCTTCTTAGAACAAAAGATATTGTTGGGGGCGGGGGGAGATGGAAGATGACTGAGGTGTATAAAATTAGAGGGGCATTGATAGGAAACGCAAGAAGAAACCTTTCACTGATATCAGAAGTCAATTACCAAGTGACATAGATTTAAGGTAAGGGGAGGGAATGGATGTGAGGAAAAACTTTTTCACTCAGATGGTGTTGGAGAATATGGAACTCACTGCCTGTAATGGTGGTAGAGGCAGGAACTCTCATTAAATTGAAGAAGCATTTAGGTGAACACTTGTGATGTCAAAGCATGCAAGGCCATGGGCCATGTGCTGAGAAATGGGATTAAAATAGTTAGGTGGTTATGCTTTTGACTAGAACAGAGTCGATGGGCCGAAGGGCTATAACAAGAAAGTCTGTAACCGCTGCACAGGACATTGATTAGGTCACTTTTGGAATACTGCGCGTGATTCTGGTCTCCCTGTTATAGGAAGGACGTTGTGCAACTTGAAAGAATTTGGAAAAGATTAACAAGGATATTGTCAGAGTTGGAGTGTTTGAGCAGTAGGGAGAACTAAACATGCTGTGCTGTTTTGTCTGAAGCGTCGGAGGCTGAGGGGTGACCTTGCAGAAGTTTATAAAAGCATGAGGGGCATGGATATGGTGAATAGACAAGGTCTTTTCCCACAGGGTAGGAGAGTCCCAAACTAGACGGGCTTAGGTTTAAGGTGAGGGGGGATAGATTTAAAAGGGATATAAGAAGCAACGTTTACATACAGAGGGTGGTGAATGTGCAGAATGAGTTGCCAGAGGAGGTGGCGGGGGCTGGTACAATTACAACATTTAAAAGGCATCTGGATGGGTACATGAATAGGAAGGGTTTAGAGGGACATGGTGCAAATGCTGGCAAATGGGTCTACGTTAATTTAATATATGTGGTCAGCATGGACGAGTTGGATCAAAGGGTCTTTTTCTGTGCTTTTTGTCTCTATGAGTCTACGATCCTACTACAGTACGGACGGCACAAGATAATGACTTTTCAACGGTTTTAAGCAGGAAAAGAATTGTAACTTTATTAACTCATATTTATAAAAAAAAAAATTGAACAAGTCATGTTGATGGCCATGTCTATAATTAGATTTTCTTACTGATTAGAGTTTAGAGGCAGGACAGAGGGTTATCAAGATGAAGTAATTTTGAGGATGGAAAGCCACAGGTTCGCGATGTAGGGTGTACAGAGAAAAGATCAATCGTGGTAGGACGAAAAGAAAGATAGCTGTTATTTCTTTTTCTACATGACGTGAGTCTTTCGTGTGGAAAATGCATTACTGTTGGAGCCTGAATCAAATATAGCTCCAGAAAGGCACTTTGCATTTTTTTTTATCATAAAAGAAAATTGCAAGATGTTCGGCCCCCACGCTTTAATATTGGGTTTCAATCAAAAATGGAATTGTCGACTAGGATGATAAATATTTGCTTTAGAAATAACTGAAGAGTTTGGCCCTCGGAGCACCATAGAGAGAGCCTTGGAATTAATAGGATCATTTCAATAAGATCAGAGAGAATTCCTCTGCCAACCAGAGGGAATATGCTTCCTGCACCTGACCAGCCCTGTCAGAATTTTATGCACTTCAATTAGATCCCGCTGGAAGAATGGGACAGAGTATCCCACCAAATAATCGAAAGCAAATCGATTTAAGCACTAATTTCATTCATCCTAAAAGCAGGAGTGTATGAGCGATTGGCGTTTACTGCTCATCTCTAACTAACCCCACAAAAGTGCTACCAAACCAATATTCTTGCCAGCATAGGAATCATAAGGATAATCTTAGCTGCCTGGAAATAATGACCACTGAACTGCCACCCCGTTTCCCCACCCTGCTTAATCTTCTTTACCCTGCCTGTTTGTGTGTGTATATGTATCTGTGTGAGTGTGTCTGTCTATGTGTCAGTGTATGCATTTGTGTGTATATGCGTGTGTGTATGTGTATGTAAGTGTGTGTGTGTCTGTCTGTGTGTCTGTGCCTTGTATGTATGTGTCTGTATGTATGTCTTTTTGTGTGTTTGGGCGACTACATAGTCGCGAGTTTATACGGGGATTAGATTTGCAATGTTATATCCTGAAGATTTATAATCATTCAAATAATATATAGTGATCCTTGTTCACTGCCAAAACATGGTCAGTACTTTCTGTCAGCCTGGGTCTGAAAATCTGGTCGGTGTGGACCTTTACGTACTTTTAAAAGTTATATTTTATCCAACATTTCTGGGAATAGCGACAGTTGTGTTTCACCGCGTTAACTGACCCCCGCACCCCCCACAACACCCCCCAACCCACCGGTGAAATGTGACAATTGCAAGTAATAGAGGATTGTGGGAAAATCAGAGATGAATTTACGGAAAACCAGGATGGAAATGACAAACTGAGTGGTCTTGCTGTACTGTAATTCAGTCTGTTCCTATACTCTGACTCTGAAAACTGACGAACTCACCTGAGCAGATGATGCTGACGGCGTTGCTTTGAGAACAGGTAAACATTTCTCCAGACGACAGTGGGCAATCCCACAATCGCGACTCGTTCCCGCGGCAGTTGTAGTTTTCTTTCCACATTGGACCAATTCCTTTTCCAAAGTCTGCTGCTCCTAGTATTGCTTTGGGCGCTCCGCACTGAAGATGCTCACAGACCACGCCAGCTTCTTGGGGTCCAAAGTAAAGGTCACACAGTGTCCCCCACTGCTTTCCGTGCAGCACCTCCACCCGTCCAGAACATCTGTCCCCACCATCAGCCAGTCGAGGTCCATGATCCCCTTTTAATGCAAGACACACATGACACCTAAAAGACCATTGTCATGGATTCGAAGCCAACATTGGAGGTTATTAACTACAAGAAAAGCACATTTTAACATGTCTATTAAACAGAAATGTTGATATGTTATCTCTATACTTTCGAAAGTCAGAGCTAAATTAGGCCATTCAGCCCACTGAACCTGGGGCAGCAGTCAATGAGGTAACTGTTGATCTGATCACACACAACTCCACTTTCCTGCCCTTTCTCCGTATAACTCCCAATTCCCTCTCCGATTAAAAATCTGTCCGCCTCAGCCTTGAATATAATTAACAATCCTAACCTCCATAGCCCTCTGTGGTAAAGTGTTCCACAGATTCACTCCCACCTGGGAGACAACTAATCTGTTATCATCTCTGCCTTAAAATGGAGACCCCTTATTCTGAGATGACGCCATCTTGTCCTAGCTTCTCCCATAAGGGTAAGCAACCTCTCCATATCTTTCCTGTCAAGTCCTTCTCATTCATTTCAATAAGGTCACATCACATTCCTCTAAACTCCAACGAGTACAGGCCCAATCTATTCAACCTCTCACCATAAGGCATTCCCTCCATACCCGGAATTAGCAGAGTGAACTTTCTCTGGACTGCCTCCGACGTCAGTCTATCTTTCCTT